TATCGTTCAATATGGCCTAAAAACTCCATGCAAAAATTTTTTGAAAAAAAAAATGAGATGCGCTCCAAAGGAGAAATAGCATCAACACTGCTCGTAGGGGATTCGCGCCTCATCTAACCTGTTCAACCCGTACCAGTCCCAAAAAATTCTTTAGGAACTCTGGATTAGCATCTACTCTAATGCACACAATTACAACAGCCGTACCGTACTTTCCTCTAGGAGAAATGGTTCCCCCGAAAAGCCTCACGGGGCAGAAGCAAAAATGTTGAACGTTGAATAAGGCTGAGTTTTTTTGAAGAAGGTGTTAGGAACTATAAAGCAAGTAATTCCAAAGCAAAAGCTACCGCTCATAGACTTACCTAAATAATCACATGACCACACCACCGTATCAAGCATTGTAACAATTTATGATTGGTGATGACTCGCTGAAAACAGATGGAATGGTCGGCACCCTTTTATCGTTGAATGAACCACAAACACCTCCGTAAGGAAAGAGACAGGTTGAAATTTCCAATCAGAGTTAAGCGTGTGGTGAATTGCGATCTCTCCTAGTTCTTCTCAGCACTTCCTGGAAAGGCCTGACAGGTTATTATCTTCAGTTCGCATTTCTCCGCACCACACGCTTATCCCTGCATGCAGCAGAAAACCTGACTCTCACTACGAAGTCTTCGCTTTCTGCAATCTTACAAGACATTCATCCATGGTTCGCTATCTACTATCGATAGCGAACCAACAGCACCGACCATTCCATCTTTATTTTGAAGCTGTTGTCTGTCTTCAACAGATCCTACAGCTCTCTCAACATTGTTCGTTGAACTGCTGATTACTTAGAAGTACAACAATAAATTGTTTTCACATCCTTTTCACTCGTTCGAGCAGAACGTTTGAAATGGAGTGAAAGATTGAGTTCCAGACAGAAATGTGTTTCGCTACGAAACGCGAAAACTCATCCTGTCGCATTTGCTTCAAAAAGGTCATTACGAGGTGGGACCACTACGAATATTGATGGAAAACAGACCTCCATCACACCCAGAGGAATTTCTTTTTCACTGAGGTTCGCCATGGCTCTCTTCAGATCCGGACTCACATCTCCAGTGAGAATGTTCAAGTTTCTGTCCTGAATCGTCAACATTATTGAGTTGCGACAGTTTACTTTTGTTGATTAACAGACCTTCTCTTCAACTTCTACATCTGCATCTTCTTTTCTTTTCTTTTCCGGTGGGGGCGGCATATATTTCAACATTGTGATGATGTCTTCGAGGAAGAAATCTATAATATTTTATATGCTTATAGAGAAGAAAAAAACATTCTTGCTCTCGTATAGCATTAGGTAGGTGGAAATCAGTTGAGAAGCCAGTTTTGTTTCATGACGTTTCAACGAAGTCAGAGAGAGTTGAAAAATTTTGCACCCTAGCAGTCTTCTCGAAAAAGGATTTGCAGCTGCACTTAGCGAATTGAGCACCGAAATGAACTTACGCTTCACGGGGAATGTTCTTCCTTCCATTTCGATGATAGGACAACCACCAAAGAACTCAA